GACTGCAATACAGTTAGGATTTAGCAAATTTGTATTGTTCAGAAGACTCAGCTTTCAGTACCCGTAGATACTTGAAGGAAATTAGTATTTTAGTCTTAATAGGAAGTCTGTTCCAATGGGAAGTCCATTCAGAGAAGAAAATCAGCAGCTTGCTAAATCCAAGGTGAATTTTCACGGAGGTTCACATACTGTGCATGTACAGCATCATTCTCTTTCTCTGTCTGCTGAAAAAAGCCACTGTTTATAAATGTGTTTTTATCACATACAGTTTTATTATTTTTAGTACAGCACAACCTTTCCAGTTGAGAATTATCCACTATTAAAACAGTTTTGTTTGTATTTTGCATATTTCTGGAATCAAGATGCTTAAATTTTTTTTTTCTTATTTTTATTTTTTTATCTTTTAGACATGATCAAACAAATGTCACTTTTTGGAAAACTTGTGGTGCTGAAAGCAAGGTACGAAACATCCATATTTATCTCTTCCTATAAACCCACATCTACCAACTGAATATATCGCCATATTTTTGATGTTTAGTTCCCTGACATGTATAGTGGCCACTGCATTAAGTATGATTTTTATAGGTGGAAGTTTATACAGAGACACACTGTACCACTTCTGTGATCACCAGCTGACACCATCGCATTTCTGGAACATAATCACTTCAGCTCTCTGGATTAAGATCAGTGAGCAACTAATAAAAGAGTCCTGTAACAAACAGACAAGGTGAGACAGTGATACACACAGGAGATCAAATTGCACCTCTGGGGAATATTGTACCTTACCCAGACACCTAGTGAGAACAGTTATCTTTATCACTCCTGGTCATGTATCCTCCTGAGAAAATTAGGAATATTATTTTAAAACATAATTCTGTTAATTCTGGATTGTAAGGAGACTTAACTATGCCCTTCCTCTCTTTTATGCAGTCACCCTAATAACTTTGGGTTGTAAGAGTGTGCACTACATCTTAACTGTCTGCCTGACTGCACCATGCACTTGATCTCAGTCCTAAATTCATGCTGAGGTAAGTGTGCTTTTACAAAAGTTCTTCCTTGAAGGAGTCAGTGAGAAGCAGGGTGGTGTCATCATTACCTTGCCATTCTCTCATCTCAGTGTTGAGATTTGCAAACTGAGATTAAAGCTGAGACAAGCTGACAAGTTTTATTCCATGCATTTAATGCAAAGGTGATTCAGAGTTGATATGAATGACAGTCATCTGTGCCAAGGCTTCAAATGTCAGGTTCTCCCACAGAAAAAAAAGCAAATGCCAACTAAATAAGCCATCAAAAAAGCAATGAGGAAGGAAGCCCAGAAGACTGGCTTTGGCCATCTTTGTGAGTCTGATGCAGCATCTGTGCTAGGACTATTTTTGGAGATGTTATGGATAAGACTACAACCACAGGAAAGAATGAGTAAAATTGGTGAAGCTATGGAATACTATATTACCCAGTGACTGGAAGCCACAACTGAGGCTAGCATTTCTAAGTGGAAATCTCACTGCTACTACAGTTAGTGTAGTACTACAGGTCACATTCTAGACACTCGTAAGCAACTGCTGTGTTAGCAAAAGGGAAAAAGTTAGTGCTACTGAAAAAACCATTGGAAAATATCTACCTCTGTGTCAAAGATGATAAATTTAGGGTCTATATACGAAAAAAAAATAGATTCTGGAACAGTGAAAAACAAAAACAGCACTCGAGTTTCCAAAATAGCATCTAGTGCTATGATCCTTCTGATATTTCAACAGCTATAAATTATCAAATGGAAGTATTTGTTTTATTAATACAGAAGGATGAACAGATAATAATCAACATGATTCCCTTTCTCAGACCAAGCATTTTATGTTTGCTATTTAACTGCTTGTTATATTACACTGTTTAGCACAGCACTTTCAGTATTCTTTCTGTTTAAGAAGGAAATTATTGTGATAAATGTAACAACCGTCAGTGATAACTGCTCAGTTTGTCATTTATCTGGTGACTGCATGGCAAGACAGCTTCAGTTTGATGTCAGGTGTACCATTTAGAAGAAGGTATTTATCTTTAGTTTACTCTGGTCATTGAATACTACAATATTTCATGACAAAACTCCACTGTGTCACTCTCCTGTGGTAACAGTCTGCACTCAGCATCTGTTTGATACTGAAATCAAGACAGAAAATTAATTTTAAAAAAAGTAGCCCACAGTTATATAAAAATACAGACATCATCACTCAATATTGCACTGTGAAACAAAACAGATACAATTATGAGCATACCTAGCTGGAAACAGAATGGCTCCTAAATTTGCAATCTATTTAAAACTGGTAGAGGCCCAATGAATTTGTATACAATCAGAAAGCAAGTGGTTCTTGATGCTGGTGAAAATAATTCTCTCCCAGTTCCTTATTATTATAATGTCAAATGCCTGAACTTCCTATCCCTGTGATTCTATTTGAAAATAACAGTAATCTTGTAACAAAAAGAAGGATGAATCCTTTTTATTTTTACATTCACTGCACTAAAACCACAACATATCAAAATTAGCATCTTCACTTTTTTTTTGAATGCAAATGTTCAGCAGTATTTGCTGTTTAGCTTCTCACAGGGTCTAACTGAAGAAACTTCATGTCATCTCATGGTAATACCAATACAAAATTGGACAGCTCCTTGTACGTTTTTAAAATTGCAAGGCAGGATTTAAGCTGTCACATTTTACTCCATCTGTAACATACACATTCCTACACATTACTTTTATCGATGAGAACATATCAATAGGCTATCTTCTCTGTTTGAAATAGAGAGTAAGGACATGCTTTTCAGTGAATTTATTTTAGAAAGAGAATCAGAAGTGTGTATTATGACTTGCTGCCAAGCAAGTTAGATATTGGTGTTTAAATTGAGATGAAACTACAGTACTTAACTAAATTTACTAGACACAAGTACATGAAATCCAATATTGATAATAATTTATGAAAGTAAGAATACTGATTCCTACAATACTGCAAACTTAGTTTATGATAACATAATTAGTTACACTAATAACACTGCTTAGGCACAGTCTTGCTAATTATGATATTATAAATATTAATGATATCAAGTCTTTGTATTTGATTGCCCCTAGTAGGATCATTTATCACAGTGTTTCCTTTTACCCATGTTATATTATTTTTCTTCCTTTTCCCTTGATTGTTCATTCCTGGACGAAGAGCCATCCTGAGCTTATGCCTAAAATGTATCACTAGCTTATCAATGATCCAGCCTCCTTAAGTTTAAATGTTATTATTTAGTAGCAATGATACAATGGGATATAGTTCAGTGCTAATACAAATACACAATCAATTATATTCTGCATGTCTTATTCCTTTTAAATGTGTAACAGAGCCAGCCAGACAAGATTACATAGGGCTTTGTTTTTATTCTTTTACATATGACCTGTTTCAAGTTAAGATTCCTTTGAATTATTAAATGCTTCCTTAAAGCATATTTTCAAACAACCTTTTTAAAGTTAATTATTGATGTAGTGACAAGCAAAAAAGTCTAAGAATTATAATTTTTTTCCTTGTCTTTGACAACGGTTGTCTGTTTGGTAAAATATAAAGGTAATACAAAGATAGAACACTGAATGCAGCTTTAAAGAAGAATTACAACAAATCTCTGTAACATGAGTTGGAAATGCTGCGTAGGTTTCTACAAGTGTTAAAGGAAAGAAGTTTAGATATAACCCTTTGAGCCTGGTTTAACTGCTTAACATAAGTGGATGAAAATGAAACTGCTTATATCTTGGTTTATTTTTAAGCAGCGTATTATCCGGAGCTTTAGGAATAGGATTGTCTTTCCTCCTTGAAGGTAATGTTATAATTTTCAGAGCTCCACAGAGAACAACAACAATATAGGAGTCTCTAATCTCCTGCTAAATCCAATTCCAGTCATCAGCAATGATAAGCAGAGATTTGGAGGCGTTTGACACTCCAAATCCTATTCTTTTGTAATTCTTTACTTTTTACAACATTTTCAACAGGCGTATATCAGATTTTTGGGAAGGATAATCAATAGGCATGATGTATAACTGAAATCAGTCTTCAAAGTGATCCCCTCTAGTAACCAGAAACAAAAGCTCAGCCTCCCTGCTGTGCAGGTATTTTGCTTAGAGCAGTAGGCAGCGGGGCATCACTAGGAAGCCAGTTACACTTCCCTGCTTCTCAGCATGGATCAGCAGGTGCCCTGGTGGAGGGGTGAGCAGTACTGGGGCAGTTGAAACCCACTGCATCTGACAAAAATGCTTTTGTAGCAGGGAACTACCGGAGCAGAGAGGAAAGACAGTCCAGAGGTTAGGATTTCATAGAGGCCATAGTTTACATTCCTATTTCATCACAGACTTCCTAGGTTTAAATGATCTTGTGGAATTTATTAACTCCTTTGGTGTCATTGATCTTCACCTGGAACTTCTCTGCCTCAGAGAGCATTTGGGTGTCAGCAGACATGAAAGACCTTGAGATGCTTAGGTACAGTGACTGAAGGGCCACTCCTACCTGATCTAATGTTCCAACTAACAGGTTACACCTGCCTCAGCCAGTCAGATCCAGTGTGAGGGGGTTTTTGCATGTCTCCTGAATGTTGCACCCCAGCTGGAACACCCAGGAATTTCTGGCACAATATCAATATCAATATCAATCTGAACTGAGTTGAGTTTCATTAAAACAAACAGTTCCAGAACTTCTTCTAATGCATTTGTTCTAATGCATCTGCCTTTTTAAAAAGACATTTTAAAGACATGATGTTATGAATCAAGTGATCATATTTATAGTAAAAATGTTAGCCAGTACCAAGTCATTTCAAGTTTGCCTTCTTAAGCTGCCTTCAGATATTTGTTAATACTCAGAACGAAAAAGACCTGGTGACTAATTGTGACAGCAGCAGTGATTAATCAAGGTAAGTAGCAGAAACTGCATACAATGATTATGGAATTACATTCAAAGCCAAGACATAGTGTCAGGAATGGCAATGGAATAACATACCTTTCCCATCAAGTCAGCAATTCTAGGTACTGGTTTTCCTTTCTGGTGGCGCATGGTTGCAGGACTCTGTCCATTCCAGTCTTCAAGTTCCTCAATGCTTGTCAGGTAAAGAAGAGCTTGCAGTCCAGTGCAGTAGTCCTCAATAATAGTGAAATCTTGATTTTGGATCGCACTGCACACCTACAAAAAGTAAGTCAGTTATCATCAACATCCTGGCAGAGAAGCACATGGAATTATCAAGCTCTTTGTACTCACTGATTATCAGATGACCCTTTCTACAACTCCATTGGGAAAGAACTGCAAGAATTGAGGATATTAGCTGTCTGCTTAATCCTATGTCACTGTAGTTCAGGAAAAAAAGGGCTCAATGACACTAGTTATGGCCAGGTTGCCTAGTGGCAGCCCTTAGACCAGGCCTAAAGGCTGTTCAGAGGTGAGCCCGCAAGCCCAGCCCCAGGTGTGCCTTCCAGGGTGTTGATGCTGAGTGCACCAAGCACACTGGCAAACAAACCACCATCTCTGCTCAGACCTTTGCTTGCAGACACACACATAGTGGTATTCCCCAGCCTGCCCTGTTAAGGAAGCCCAGATGTAACCAGTTAGGTCCCAATTAAGCAAATCACAGAGCCACGGACTTGCTGAGATTGGAAGGCATGTCTTGAGATTGTGTTGTCCAACCTCCCAGCTCCGAGAAGAGTCAGCTAGGGCAGGCTACCCAAGGCTGTATCTAATCAGGATTTGAATATTCCCAAAGACTACACCTCTCTGAGGAACTTGGTCCAGTGTTCAGTCTCCCTTGAAGGTTTTTTCTTATACTTAAATGGAATTTCCTGTGTTCCAGTTTGTGCCCACTGCCTCTTGTCCTTTCCCTGGATACCCTCAAGATGAATCTGGATCCAATGGTAGTGTCTCAGCAAACAGCACCCATTAAGCTGACCTGTTAGTATGGGTGAGCACTGCCAGGCACAGACCAGAACAGCCCCCTTCTGCTAATCACCATTTGCCATTCAGAGCCACTGGGAGGCCAGGACGCTTTATTTTAGATACTTTAGAAACACAGAGAGCAATATAGCTTTATAAACATTTAAAGCAGTGATCCCTGATCTACAAAACTACTGACAGCAGAGAACAGTCTGACTATCTAAATGGATTCTTCTGGACCATTTTGTGGATATCAGCTCAGATTTAAACCCATAGAGACCCCCAACCAAACTGACAACTGAATAAAAAATTCCTGATTGTTCCCTGAATACCTTCTCATTAGCTAAACTCTAATCAGCCATCAGTGATGAGGTGCAGGGTTGATTGAGTACCATTAATTGTCAGTCTCTGGAAATGCTCTTAAATTCCAGATGTGTCAGTGTTTTCAGCCTCTGATTCAGCTTTTATTATAAAAGCTGAAAAGAGTGCTCCTGATAATAACTTGACTTCCATGCATACGTAGTGAACACAACAATGAAATAGTCACCTATTTTAGAACATGAATGTGTGCACATGCACAAACACATCCAATATACCTTAGATCATAATTGACATCAACACTCAAAAAATAAGGAAATATATAATTGTTTTTCACATTTTAGAAATGACAATACAATTTGCAATCCTGAAGACAGGTACACATTGCATTTGGAAATACCATACACTACAGCTGTGCAAGAAAAAAATAAAGGAAAACTACAAAATAAGCACAATAACATTTTCTATGCAGTGCATTTACATTACACAAAATCTTTCTCTGAAGAAACACAGTGGGCATTAATAAGGTCTGTTATGACTTCCACAGGCTTCAAGATTTTTTTTCCTGATAGCAATTATAGAGAGCATCATAATAATTTCCCATACAGGTTATTTAACTGCAAAATTTAACTGATGCTTACTTAAACCTTTTCGTTCACCAAGGAATTCTTTATTTTTTTTTGTGCATGGGTAACACTTCTATTAGCTATGCTTAAAAACACTGAAACTATAAAAAAAATACAGTTAAAAGCCATGTCATGTCACTTGAAACAAGTTCAGACACTGTTGTCAAAATCCTGAAATATTTTGACAGGATGTATACACATGAGATACACTGGAGGATACCTGTAATAACCTTATAAATAAAGAGGCTTTTACTGTTTTCCATCTTGTGGTGCAGTGTTATGAACCGCAATAATATAAAAATGTGCAGAAGATAATATCACACTAAGAGCTAACATTTGATCCCTGTGAGTCTATGTGCAGTGCACTGTTTGCCTTCCCTGGAAAGCCAAATAAGTTCCGGAACTGAAGGCAAAATGCAATTTTTAAGAAAAAATGTAAATCTCTGCACTAAAAAAAAATGTTATTTGAAATGGAAGGACTTCAAACAAACAAGTGGTTTCAAATGATCCTCCTCTTCTGTAGAAGCTTTGTGACTATGGTGCCCAATAGTTTACATAATTAGCCAAAGACGTGCCTTTCACTTATTTCACTGTGACAAAAGCAAGTGCTTATGTTTGTGGGCCTTTCCTAGAACTAGAGAGATTCAAACACTAAAACATACAAAACCAACAGAAATAGTTTTGCCATAAGATTTGTATTTTAGGCTTACAATATCTTCCATGAATCAATGTAGAAGCTTTTGCTGCATTTTAAAAGGTGGTGAACAAAATGAAGATAAAAGGTCACCCTGACCCATCAGCCATGACAATTTCTACACCACAGAGAGAGGTTTTTAGCATCATACCTGGCTGCCTCTGAATCACCAGTTTAAATGACACTGTGCCCTCTTTTCAGCACAGGAGAAGTGGCAGGGCAATAGACCAGGTGAGACTCAGACTCACGCATCCGTAAAAATTGCAGCAGAACTGAACCGACTGATCTCCACACATCATTAATGCCCCGCTCTGCTCCCGCTGCTCGCACTGGGAACAGGCTTCCCCTCCCTTGCAAAGCTAAACGCTGAGCCTGAGCCCCCTCTTCTGCTGCGCAGCTATGGCTGTATTTAAAATGGAACTACCTTTTGGTTGCTACCACCTCTCATGTAATGTCTTATCAAACCACCTCAAGAGGAGATAAAGGCAAGAAGTGCTGTGTAACTGCTGCTGTCTGTGCCTTGTACACATGAAACTGAGCTGCAGCCAGCTCTGCCGGCTCAGCCCCTCTCCTCAGCATCATGCTTTTACCAACTAAGCACAGCAAAATGTGCCTCCCTTTAGACTCTGAAGCAAAAACCCAACAGAACTGCAACTTCACAGCAGAGAACACACTCCTGGTCATGTTGTATCAGAGCAGTGGTTTGCATCCCGTGGCCAACAGAAGCCACTTAAGGACAAGTATAAGAAACAGAGTGGGTCTGGATCAGTTGCTTGTGTGGTTTATCAGCCCAGGTTCTGGCAAGCAGTAGTGCTGGAACATCACATAGCAGAGATGGTACCTGTTAATTATCCCTTAATCCTAAATAATCCAACTGGATCTGTTTAATGAGTAAATTAACATTAAGCTATTCACTGACCCAGCCTCTCACCTGAAACATTTAGGTAGAAAGTATCTTTCTTCTGTGAAAAATGAGACACTGGCCCTGTGAGCATCCTTTGGGACACAGTGAGGTCCAGGTCACAATGAAGCTGTCAGCTGCCCTGCTCACAAGTGCTGTCCTACTGTCTTGCTTGTGTTGGTCTCTAGCTCTGGACTTGAACTTGGACTAGAAGAGGAAGATGCTACATTTTTCCTGTTTAGAAACCTGTATTATTCACATTGCACTAATATACAGGGAGATAATTTCGCAGGAGCTTGGTTTCACTCCATTGCCTGGCTCTGTCCTCATAGTAGAATTGCTACAATTTAATTTTTAACACTGGATCTCCTTCCCTTTCTCCCAGATCCAGACTCCAATGATTGCCCCTTATGTCCCAAAGGAGACAAACAGGCCAACATGCTATGTATGATCAACTACATTGTGCTCTCAGTATTCTGAAATCTAAAACTGCACAGTGTAAGTTGCAACTGTAGGTTACAATTCTAATCTATACAGACGTGTCTGAGATACTAAAAGACACCATGCCTGCTTTGCTGTTGGTAAATCAAACATACACCAAATGATCTCATTGGGGAATGGGGATGTGAAATGAATCACAGGCTAAGGCTCTAAGTAAAACTGCTCTGCAAAATGCAATGATGGGAGAGGCATGCAAAGGTCCCTGCTGATGTCTTGCATAAGAAATGACCTGTCTGTTCTATAACTAAATAAACATAAAAACTGAGTCTTTGTCACAGGATCTAGAGACATTACAAGTCTTACTTGAGGGACTGGAGTAAATTGTCAAGAGATTATTATTGTGTAAAAAAAAATTTACAGGTTATGTGATTGTCATTAATCATTCACATGAATCCGAAACTTTTAATTTACATATTTTTGAAGAAAAAATTCATTATTGGTGACAAGTGCTACCATATCAGTCATAAAACATTGTAAATGCCTTTGTTTTTAGCAGAATCATTACACAACAAAGAGATGCCAATTTCCAAAGTGTTTACTGAGGCAAATCCCCTGCACTGTTTACTGAGAGCTCTGTCTGTGTAAGACCTTTCAGTTTTGTCTGTAGTCTATATTTCTAGAAGCAATGGGAAAAATACCCAGATATTGCATTTTATTTCTGTTTCACTCTCTACAAAAATGGATGTGGTTCTAGTAGACACTTTGGCATATCCTGGGAGACTGTGTGGAAGACCTGCGCCAACCATGCAGAAGCTGGACAAAGTGCCTGAGGCATTTCCAGACAGATCACCCCATAAAGAAATTCCTATTCAGTGCTGTCCTTACATTTTCCCACTGGCAGATGTTGCAAAGGAGAAAATCTTTCCTGTAACACTAGAAGAGGAAACAATGAAGTCCTCTTCAGGCATTAGTCTGTCCACTCTCTCTTGCCCCATGACACTCAGTTTTTACATAAACTCATTATTATATATTGAAATCTCAGCTGGACGGGTGATGGTGGGGAATATGGTGTCAAAAATGAACCCCAGCCCATCTATTCCATCAATAGCTGGGATTTCAGCAGAGGCTGCAGATGAGATGCAGATCTAGACACATTTGTGGTAGTTTTTTCCTATACTACTTTCACCTAACAGGAGGTACTGTGTATAATCTCACATACTGCAAGTTCACTGCAAAAGACTGGAGCAGGTCAGAGAAGCTGACCTGTTCAATAATGTGC